ATGCCGTTTAATTTGTGTTTGAATAATTTAATTGATATCTCTTGTAACCTAGACTGCAGCTAGAATTACAATTGCATGTAGAATGAATTAAGAGAGATCTAATTTGTTCTAGGACACATTCACACACACTTAATCGTTCGCTAAGAGATTAGTAGCGATTAAGGGGCCGTAAGCTCGCTCGTCTTGGCAATAATTTAGGATCCTGTCGCATGAGAGATCAGCCTGGTCCCCTAAATTATTGTACTCTACGCCGCGAGAGCGGTAAGAACTTAGTAATGATTAGCTAGGCTCAATTAAATTAAATTCATGTAATTAGGCCTGATCTGCCAGAAATCTGGTTACCCCGGAATCAATTCCTATTCCCTTCGTCGTTAATTGAGAAGAAACCAATCTTTTAATTTAATCGTTCATTCGCATTAGTTTAATTTTATTCACTAATCAATCTCGCACAATTGCACTTTTATTTTATTTATTTCTTTTTAATCGCTAAGTTTAGTTAATCTTTATTTCCCTTTTGTCCGTCCCTGTGGAGACGATACTCGTACTTTACACCACTTTTCTACAACTATTTTAAGTGCGAGAAAACACTCATCAACGAGCAACGGCAAACAACCAAAAACCAAACAGCAAGTGGTGTTTGACGGGATGACTGAAGACGACATAGCACAACCTGTTGGTTGTGATGAGACAGCAGGAGGTTCAGGGAGCAGTGGGAGCTCAGGAGATATAGGAATGTCTGAAGATAGTGGGAGTGATGAAGATGGTGAAAATTCAGAGGCAGCTACTCCTCAAGTCAGACAGTCCACTAGAATCAGAAGACCTCCTAACAGATATTCTCCTTCAGCAAATTATCTGTTGCTGACCGAGAATGGAGAGCCAGAATCTTACTCAGAGGCGCTGACAATGAAAGATTCCATACAGTGGAAGAAGGCCATGGAGGATGAGTTAGATTCACTTGACAAGAACCAAACTTGGTCCTTAGTCAAGCTACCACCGGGAAAGAAAGCTTTGGAGAACAAGTGGGTGTTCAGAATCAAAGATGAAGCAGATGGAAGCAAAAGATACAAGGCGAGGTTAGTTGTCAAAGGGTTCCAACAGAAGAAGGGAGTTGATTACAATGAAATCTTCTCTCCGGTTGTGAAGATGACTACTATCAGGTTGATCCTTGGTATCGTTGCTGCTGAAAATTTGCATTTGGAGCAGCTGGATGTAAAGACTGCCTTTCTTCATGGCAACCTTGAAGAAGACATTTACATGGCTCAACCAGTAGGTTTCCCAGTGAGTGGTAAGGAAAAATTGGTGTGCAAACTCAAGAAGAGTCTATACGGACTGAAGCAAGCTCCTAGACAGTGGTACTTGAAGTTTGACAGTTTTATGCAGCGGAATGGGTACACTAGATGCAAGATGGACCATTGCTGTTACTTGAAGAAATTCGAGTCTTCATACATTATTCTTCTTTTGTATGTTGATGACATGTTGGTGGCTGGAGCAAACATGCAGGAGATCAACAAGCTCAAGAAGAAGTTGTCTGAAGAATTTGAGATGAAGGATTTAGGGGAGGCGAGACAGATTCTTGGGATGAGCATAGTCAGAAACAAGGTGGAAGGTACTTTGAAGCTTTCACAGCAGAAGTACATTCAGAAGGTCCTTGAGAAGTTCAGAATGACGGATGCCAAGCCAAGGAGTACACCGTTAGGGAGTCAGTTGAAACTCTCCAAGCAGCAGTCTCCAAAGACCAATGAAGACAAAGATGAGATGGCTAAAGTTCCTTACGCATCAGCCGTTGGCAGCTTGATGTACGCAATGGTGTCAACAAGGCCGGACATTGCTCATGCAGTGGGAGTTGTTAGCAGGTTCATGTCAAATCCAGGGAAGGAACATTGGGAAGGAGTTAAGTGGCTGTTACGCTACTTGAAAGGTACTTCTGAAACTGCTCTTTGTTTCAGGAGGAATGGAGTAATTCTAGAAGGATTTGCTGATGCTAATTTGGGGGGCTGTCATGATTCCGGGAAGAGCACTACGGGTTACATATTCACTATTGGAGGTACGGCAATCAGTTGGATGTCCAGATTACAGAAGAGTGTAGCTCTTTCAACCACAGAAGCAGAATATATGGCTATTGCTGAAGCGGCCAAGGAGATGATTTGGTTGAAGAACTTTCTTTCGGAGTTGGGCATGGAACAGGGGGATTGCGGACTGCATTGTGACAACCAGAGTGCTATTCATCTCGCGAAGAATCCGGTGTTTCACAGCAGAACGAAACACATCAAGATACGGTACCATTTTATCCGAGAGTTGATTGAAGACGATATCATAAACTTGAAGAAGATCCTTGGTACGAAGAATCCAGCAGACATGCTTACCAAGGTGGTGACAACGGAGAAGTTGAACCTATGCATGGCTTCAACTGGCCTTCCAGATACTTGATGAGAAGGCGTGGACGAGAGAGAGAGAGAAATCAGGGGTTTTACAGAAGATACATGTTCTTGGATGGCAGATAATTGTTGACCAAGCCTCCAAGTGGGAGATTGTTGAAGATGGAGTCTTGTTCTTAGGTTCAGAGCAGATATCCGACCGGGTATGGTTGGCCACCCGACCGGGTATGTTGAAGCAGAGACCGGGGGATCTCACTGGAAGTGAGACCCGACCGGGTCAGGGGAGGGACCCGACCGGGTCAGGGTTGGTTTTGGCTTCTGTTTTGGAAACCCGACCTGGTTTCCACCGGGTTTGTGTTCTGTGAAGGAGACCCGACCGGGTCAAATAAGAGACCCGACCGGGTCAAGCGACGGGAATTTTAAAAAACAGGCTTAATTTTGGGCCTGCGGCTCTAATCTCAGTTTAGGTTTTCCTAAACCTATTTAAACGACTCTTATGTACTTGTAAACCTCTTGGGGGGACGCTGATAACAATACATACTCTCTCTCGTTCGCCGTGGACTAGCGTGATCACCCCGATTGCGTGAACCACGTTAATTCTTGTGTTCTTGCTCTTAATTTATCGTTTATCTTTGCCTAATCGTAACAAAAACTGTGTAGTTGAGGTTTGTGCAGAGGAGAGAGAATTAATTGGAACCACAAATTCTTTACTTAAATGAGAAAGTGACAAAGTTAATAGGACATCCAAAAAGGGAAAGTTGGCAAAATTATAAGGGATGGAGGGAGTATAATTTAACTGAATTTGATATAAATTTAATGTGTTATTATCATCACCAAACATATTTTCATATAGCTTACAAAATATATCAAATGCAACTATGTTATACAAAGTATCACCTAACTTAGTTATAATGAATAATGTGCAAGAGATAAAAATTATACTGCTAAACATATATTTTTCATATTTAAATTATTTATTTTTATTCTCGAGATGAAAGTTGAAGACATAAAAAGTATTTTAATAATAATCAAAAACTGTTCTCTTCGATTTATGACTTTTCAATTTAAAATCAATCCATACCATTCAATTCGTCCAAATTTTACCAAAAAGTTTATTTAAGTGAACCCAAACTAAATGAAAATACGGAATTCGGAACGATTCGGTTGTACTACGTACCAAACAATTTTGCGGTTTTTGCCTGCCCCAACTCCATACAAGGACTATGCTAGGTCCCACCATCCAAAAATTAGCATAGACTTTGATGAAATTTATAGAAAAAATTGCACTCCATAAAAGTCTATCTCAAAAAGTCTTTTTACTACTTCGGCGGCCTCCATCATTGTCTCTTCAATTCTTCCGAAACAAAGTATCACATTTCACTTTATTATAATGAAATCATAATCTCAATTCTTATTTTTTAACCATTTTATTAATAATTGTGTCAAATTAAAAGAACACATATGGAACGATCACGGAGGTAATCATCAGTATTAATTTTTTAACAACGTGTAGGCGAATGATGGATTGTAGGGATCAATTTGTTGGACGCAAAGGTTGACTCAAAAACACGCCTTTTTTTAAGAGAACTCAAAAACACGCCTAAACTATAGACGGAGTAATACATTTCTATAGCTGTTTTTTACTCAACTCCAGGAGGTTTTAAGCTATGTCGTTATATTTTCTGAATTACACTTCATATGTTAACAAAAAATTATTCATCTATGCTTTTTAGGTGGGCAAGTAAGTAAACTTTATATAGATGAAATTATATAGAGATTTGCAATTTCTTTTTAATTGGATTGTAATTTTCTGATATCTTGTTTGGTCTGATTTATTCAAATCTTGTTTAGGTCAGTAAATGTATGATCGTTGTGTATTTTACAATTGTCAAAATTTGGTCTAATTAGTTTAATTTTGGTCTAACCTATTTTGTCTTGGGACAAAAACACCCTTAGTAAACTACATACTCCCTCCGTCCCTTTTTATTTAGCCTATCACTATTTTCCAAATCAATGATGCTCAACTTTGACCGTTTATATATTTATATACAATAATATTGATAATATGAAAATCATATGAAAATATTATTTGTTAAAAGTACTATCATAATAAAAGTATAACTTTATTAAGTTTCACGAATATATATTAGTTAAAATAATGAATCAAAGTTTATTATCTTTAAGTGGAAAAGTCAAAGTTGGCTAAATAAAAAGGGACGAACGTAGTATATTTTAAACTTTCCACGTATAGTTATAAAAATTCCAATTGAGAAATTCTTAAATCATAAAATTTTACTCAATCCATCCCATTAAACCTCCAAATTTTCCTTATGCCTGTCTCAAAATAATCTTTCACTTCCTAATAAAAAATTTGTGATTCATAGCATATTCTTACGCATTTCTTTCTCTTCTCTGCCCAACTTTTCACCGCACAATATTCAATATGTATGAAATAATTTGGAAGTAAATTTAGGGACACATACAACACTAAAGATCGAGTTTTTCTATGGAAATTGTACTTCTCTGTTGGCAAATCCTTAAATTGCAACCAAGTAAAGTCAGAGGCTAATAAAGAGCATGAACAACAGTTACACCAGTAAAGGGGAGAACAAAATAATTGTATACCTTCTTGTCAACGTAGTCGGCCCAGAATTTAGCCTGGGATTTCTGGTAAGGATCGGACGGGAGCAAAGGGGCTTTGTCCTTCCAAACCTCGTCAATATACTCCACTGCGATGTTTGATTCGCAGACCGGCTTGCCGTTGTGGATGAGAACCGGGATCTTCTTGTGAACCGGGTTCATCTTCAGAAGCAGCTCGCTCTTGTTCCTGAGGTCCTCTTCTCTGTACTCATACTTGACCTCCTTCTCGGCCAGAGCAATTCCCACCCTCATCCCAAACATGCTCGGCCAGGAGCTCAACAATATCACTTCTTCTTCTTGAGCCATTTCACTTCACAAAGAACAAAAGCAAAAAAAGAGGGAGAGAAGGAAATGTAACTGGATAGGACTTCGGAGGATAACTGCGGCTTCTTAAATAGAGTGGTTAGTTGTGTGTGCAGCTGCGGGGAACCCCTCAAGGCTCAAGGTCAAAAGTGATTTGCAAATTTATTTTTATTTCCTCATTTTGAATATAATATCTACAGAGTAAATTTTATCATATTCTATTTGACTTTTACGATTATAAAAGTTTCAATGATATTAATGAGTAGAAAATTTATTTGTTGAAATTGCTCGATCACCTAGAGCAACTCCAACAAGCATCATCTTCAACACCAAAATGGTGGATTTGCAAAAAATGCTCCAACAATGACACCAAACTTTACACCATTACACCAAAATGGGGGAGGGGAAATGGCAACTCCAACAAGCACCAAATCCTACACCAAAATGGTAAATTTGGCAAAAAGTTGCTCCAATAATCACACCATCCCCTACACCATTACACCATTTTGGGGAAGAGGCTTTTGCTTTACACCAAATATGGCATACACCATATCTCATACCATCCTCTTTTTTTTAATTTTTTTTATTTCAAATGTGACCCAAAGTTTTGATTGTTATAGTTTTGACCAATTTTTAAAATAACAAATTAGTATGTTTTTACTTGGACTGAAATTTGTTTGTCTACTTTGGTTTGATCTGATTTAGTCTGGTCTGGTCTGAACTGATGTGACCTGGTCTGATTTTTTTGTATTTTTATAACTACCCAAGTCTAGTCTAATCTGGCCTGATCTCTGAGACAAATTACAATCCAAGTAAAAACATCCTTATAGAACAACAAATTAAAATTATTAATTTCATAGAAAAATATACGTAGTAATAAGTTATTGATGAGGCGGCATGGTTCACTCAATTTCTTAGCCGACATAACCAAATTCACAACAAAGGCGCTCATATTGAGCTCCGCAATGCTTTAATTGATCATTTGTGGAAAGAATTCTCAAATTCCGGTAACTAAACTAAGAATATTTATTTAATCTATTGCTTTAAGTTTAAGTAGTACTTTATTAATGACGTACAAATTATTATATGGCGTACGCCATTTGTAGCACCATTCTCTTTTTGTAATTTTTTTCTTTCGAATGTGACCCAAAGTTTTGATTATTATAGTTTTGACCCATTTTTAAAACAACAAATTAGAATGTTTTACTTGGACTGAAATTTATTGGTCCGCTCTAGTCTGGTCTGAATTGATGTGGCCTGGTCTAATTTCTTTGTATTTTTATAACTACCCAAGTTTGGTCTAATCCGGTCTGCTCTGTTCTGAAACAAATTACAGTCCAAGTAAAAACATCCTTATACTACAACAAATTAAAATTATTCATTTGATAAAAAAATATAATAACATTTAAATCACACAATATTATAAATAAAGTTTCAAATCCAAACAACATAATAACAGAATACAAATGGTACTTAAGAAAATAAAATAATTAAAATTTCAATTAATAACACCATTATAATAAAAATTAAAACATAATTAAAAACATACATAGTATATACTAATTTAGAAATTAGTAATCATTCCATGCAGTACACCAAATGTTGGGAGAGGATGTAGGCGGCTGAGCCGCCGTGGGCAATGTCATCCGTCGAACTTCAGCTCTCAAGGGTTCCGTCAATTTGAGAAAGTTTTTTTTATCATCAACTCCGACGGCTTAGATTAATAACCAATAATAGTTCAGAGTATGGGTCAACAGACAAAAAGAAAACTGATAACCGTTATTCCTCGAACCAGACTTGAAATTAATCGCCGTAGCAATATAATTCGTTGATCCATAACCGGGAAACAAAAAGCCTAATACGGTTACCAAATTCCTCTCATCTCCCACATCCAAAATCAACGTCTTACAAACAAGAACGATAAATAAAAAGCAAATAGCAAGACAGACATAACAATCACTGAAAGAACAAACAAAACCAATAAAACAAATCTTCTTCAAAACCCTAGATTTGCTCGCACTCCATGGCGGCGGCTCAGGAGGGGGTCGCGCCCGTCGGTCACTTGCCACAACCTCACCATCACACATGTCCCCGAAGCTTTCCATGCAAATTTGTTGCTTAGCTTGAACCTTCTTCCAGCCCCTTACCGCATCTCAAGGCTCCTTCGATCCAGCCGCCACGAAACAGCCGCTGTTTGTCTCATCACTGTATTCAACGGACTAGACCTTCTTTGTGATCGAAACCCGCGATCGGAGAAACGAGGAACCCGGACAACATCTTCGACAATAGACAGCATCTTCCAAACAATCCAAAGAGACATCTAACAAATAAAGGCTCGAAGATACGGCGGAGAGCCGTCTCCGGACAAATCCTAGGCAGCCTAGACGGCGGCTCTAGAGAGAGGGAACGAGAGTATTTGATCCTGTCAATTTGAGAAAGTTGAAAAGTCCTCCATGCAGTACACCTACTACTATAAGCAATAGAATTATATTTGAGCTTTTTTTCCTTCTAAAAATAAGCTACTATGTATTTGCAACATACTTTACATATACTATTGCATATCAATTTGATGTGAGGCATTATTGTATTTTTAGGATGTGATACATTATTTTACCTTTGGATTGTTATTACCTATTTAATTAATATTTTTCTTTGCAAAAAAAACGTAGGAAACAGAAATGCCTAAATATATTCTAGGAAACAAATATTCCTAAAATAATATATTCTATTACAATGTAATATTTTAATTAGTAATGCATGCGAATTCAAATAAAACCATTTTGAGTCACTATTTCAAATAACTTTTGCACACTTATAATTACTAACATACAAACTTTCTACCTATAGTTTTCACTTGCGTATGTTATTAAATTAAAAAAACTTTTCATCAACTTAACTTCTTCTCACACCTAAGTTTACATAAAAACCTAAGTTTACATCAATTAAGTGCACATTTTAGGTATTATATTATGCACATTAGCCATTATTAACATTAACCTTGTTTTTATATTATGCACCGTTTAACGTCAGATATGCAAGTTTACAATGTTCAACTTTTCTATCCACTTAAGCATGAGAAATCATCTCATCAGGCCGGCCTGACGGGCTGCCCCGTCCGGCCGAGCCCGTTTGGGCACCGTCCCGGTGGAATTTTTTGATGAAATTTTTTGAGCATGTTCCTCATCAAGTCTAGTTTGTCCATACCAAATTTCAGCTCAAAATTCGATCGGGAAGGTCGTTAAATGATTTTTGCAAGTTAACTGGTCCGGAATATGTATTTTCCGGACCAGTTAACTTGCAAAAATCATTTGACGACCTTCCCGATCGAATTTTGAGCTGAAATTTGGTATGGACAAACTAGACTTGATGAGGAAAATGCTCAAAAAATTTCATCAAAAAATTCCACCGGGAAGGTGCCCAAACGGGCTCGGCCGGACGGGGCAGCCCGTCAGGCCGGCCTGATGAGAAGAGCTCTCCTTAAGCATTACAGTAATGCACAGATATATTACATAAGTGCATCATTGACTATTCAAATCTTTTTTGTGCATTTTTCCAAAAACAAAACTTTTTGTGCACTTAATTTGATATCTCATGCACATACATGTTCTTAAATATAAAGGCTGCAATTTAAAACACATAAAACTTACATCTGCATCGTACTTATCCGTAAAATAACCTAGACATCCTTTGATCCTTATATGATTCAAATAAAAAGTGCTTCCTAGGTGAAAAATAATAACTAATCTGGGTCATTTATACGAAAAAATGAACAGAAGAGATCAAATTTTAAGTGAAAAACGCGGTGGCGTTTTGATAATTATGAACAACTTTTAATAAAAAAAATTTAGGAAAAGTTTACCAGAATATGCAAAACGTGTATAGTGCACAAAAGTGCATAACAATACGTCATAAAATGTGCACACGTTTATAAAAATTGGCAATTTTTTTAACACTCATGAGTGCACTTTTATTCATTTAATATTCACCTTCTATAATAAACATTTGCACATTATTTGATATTGTGTCTTGTGATTAAAGTTCATCTAATTCATCTATTTACAAGTGATTAAAAGTTAAGATTTGTTCTCACTTTTCATGGGGATGATACTTTTTACTTGAACCCATCATGTATGTATGTATGTATGTCTTTTTAAAACCATCATCAAATGTATAAAAGATACGTAGTATGATTTACCTATTTGAATGAAATCATACATTGTTTGTTACTCAAACATAATGCCTTATTTAGTGATGGATTAATAGATGTGTGTTACAAGAGAACTGATTCAATGTTATCAGGGGTATGTGGACTTGTGGAGACGGGGCTGGATGGGGCATCAGGCATGCCTCCCCAAGAACTCTTTTTTATGTACATACATACATCTAAACTTTTATTGGGAGTAAAAGTATAGTGAAATTTTAAATTTTGACTGTCATTTCTAGCTCCATCAGTGCGAAACAAGAAATATAAGTAAATCGTATCCTTCTATTTTGTGTATGTAACCTAACACGGTGGCATTTTTGTAAATACTTCTAAAAATTCGATTTACATTTGTATAGTACAACATGAAGTTGTTTTAGTGCATCATCATCAGTCTAGTGCAACGTGAAGCAGTTTCAGAGCAACATTACAAAATTCAAATCATACCGCAACATTAAGTTATTTTAAGTGCAACACCATATATTTAAGACTGAGATTATTCATTCTCATTTGTCATATTAGAGACATTTCTCACTTGATCAAAGTCTATTAATCCAACAAGTGTCCTAGCTAAACATAAGACTCCAGCCACATCCTGCAAACAGACACATAAACTCCAAGATGCATTCATAACCCTTCAAAACTAGCTATGATTGGATTTGAACACAATGAAATTGAGCACATATATATTTATTGATGATATATTAGTTGATAAGTAGTGTTTAAGCAATGCCCATCTTCTCCCTCCTTATCTTGGCAAACTCATAGACCTTGTGAGGGTCAGGAAGAGTCTTGGAGACACTCTCCCTCTCCATGCACCTCTTAGCCCATCCAAACAGCTTAGGGCACTCAGCTTCTATGCTGAAATTGCCAAAGCTCTCAAACACATGAAACCAGCTGTAGTATCCAATGAGAGAAATATCTACAAACCCAAACCTCTCACCCCCAAAGTATGGCTTCTCTCCCAATTCTCCTTCCAGCACCTTTAAGACTTCTATGAACTCCTTCTTCCCTGCTTCCTGTTCTTCTCCCTTCAAAGTCCATGTTTTCCTAGCAGCTTCATAAACCTGTAGTTGTACCACAATATTGACATCTACTCATCTTATGATTCCAATAATCGTATAAATGGTAAGTATTTAAAAAAATAGAATCAATATAAATCAAACATTTATTTCTTAGCCGATAACGTGGATGCTGTAATGCAAGGATAAAAAATATTGAATATAAGAATTTTTTCGTGTATGCTTCACTGTCAATTTATTTTAGTTACTTGGCATACTATATGTTCTGGCCAAATATTATTTGGGAATTGATCTAAGAACTACGGATAAATAAAATTATAGGGAACGTGCAAGAATACAATCTAGACTAATTAATAAGAACAAATTCAAAAATGATTGTATTAGAAATGAATAGATAGCTGAAGAAAAAATATTTTAGCTCTCAGTAATTGATTGTGAATTGTGATGATCTATTATCCACCCACTACAAATGAAGTAAGGCTGTTCATTTATACTTGCAATTGCTATCATGAGGTTAACATGCCTAATTTCGAGACGCTTCCCTCTCCTATGCCATCGAATTAGGGAATTTGGCATCTATTTCTATTATTCGTACCACTATTCAATTAAGTCAAACCTCGTGTCCTTATCCATTTAGGTGTTGTGTTGGACTAGATCACTTGATTATACATTTTAAATGATGTTTGAACTCACTCTTATATCCACTTTTGTTTGTGAATCGGGTTCACAGAAAAAAAAAATTCACAAACATGGTGGGATGAGGCGGGTATAAGAGTGGGTACATCAGGCATTATTGTTATTTGTTATATATTTGGTCACGGACCGGACTCCAAATTAATTTCTTGAATTATTTCGTGGCCCAACACTATACATAACATATACCGGGAAATTGAAAGTAAATAACAGTAAAATTTTGTGAAATTTCAAAATTGAATAATCATGTTTTTATTTCGGAAACGAGAATAATTACTGTCAAAACATGACAATTATTGTCATGGAGATTTTAGTACCATACTTTTAAAGAGGGCCTATACTGTACACCAGGTTGTACGGTGTTCACGTACAATCGGGTATTTTATCTTACACGTAATGAGTATTACTTTTAAAAGTAATGAGCATTGGTATTAAATCACTGTATTGGTAGCATAATTGAGTATTAGAAGTGTGCAATTGAGTATCATGATCCACGCGTAATATATGCTACAAATCAACTTATTCATTTAACTATATTATCATTGCATTATCATGAAAATTATTTATGTACTAATTTTATACTACATAATGTAATATCAATATTCATTTCATTTCCACTATATACTCATTAGATATAAGTTAAAATATTCGGTTGTACCGTGTGCATGGTGCAGCCGGTTGTATCTTATAATTTACGATACTTTAAGCATATATGGCGGTATTTTCAAACTTGGTGGTCAGTGATCACCACAATTATTTGAAGAATTAAAACGTGACCATCTTATTTTAGAATTTCAAAACATTTTACGCTTGTTTCGACAATCTTCCATTTTCATTATTGCCATGGAGAATTGGAGATAGCTAGGGAGGGGTTTATTACCTGCTTATTGATGTATTCGGCCCAGAACTTAGCCTGGGATTTCTGATAAGGATCAGAGGGGAGCAAAGGGGCTTTGTCCTTCCAAACTTCATCAATATACTCCACTGCGATGGTGGACTCGCAGACCGGCTTGCCGTTGTGGATGAGAACCGGGATCTTCTTGTGAACCGGGTTCATCTGGAGAAGCAGCTGGCTCTTGTTCGTGAGGTCCTCTTCTCTGTACTCATACTTAACCTCCTTCTCAGCCAGAGCAATTCTTACTCTCATCCCAACCCTGCTCGCCCAGAAGTCCAACAATATCACATCTTCTTCTTGAGACATTTCACTCCCCCCAAAAAAGAAAAAAAGGAAGCAGAAAAATGAAACTGGATAGGAGGATTTGTTTGTCAGCTGTGACTTATGGCGGCTTGATTGGCCTAGATTTAGGGGATGATATACGGAGTATTGTTTTGTGTGGAGGTACGAATACATTGTGGTCCATTACCATTATTCTTTTCTAGAATAATACGGAAATGTTTTTATTCTACTTTCTAGAATCATTGACTATTCCCAGGCAGCAGTCCCTCTGCCTTCATCGATTGAAACTTTGAATACGTTTTCTATTTCCATGAAGACTACGGCGATTGATATTTTGTCTGTCAACGAGGAGGATTGTATCATCCTGGATTGGCGTCCCGTCTCTAGGGTTTCACCGCTAGAGTTTTATTTGTCCGCTATCGTCTTTTGGTGAGGAGCGGTGTCATCTTTCGGCAATTTGTTCGTGGATAGGGAGATTCGGTTGGAGGCGACTCAAGGACCGATCAAGGCGATGAAGGAAGAAGATGAAGTGAAGATGATTCGACTCCCTCCTGAACCGTCGCCGGTGGTTCTTGGAAGGCTGAGTGAATAAATTTATTTTTTTGCTTTTATTTATGTTAATGTTCTGAATTTGTATGTGTTTGTTTGTTGTTTTATCACTTTTGATTGTAAGACTGTGGTTTTGGATTTAGATGTGGGTGATGGAATGACTGCGGTAACCGTCTTTGCCTCATTTGTGCTCTTTAATGGATTAGCGAGTTATATTACTGAGACGATAAACTTTGAGTCTAGTTCGAGGGACGGCGCTTCTCAGGAGTTGTTTTGTCGGATTACATACTGATGTGAGTTTTCTCGCACTTAAAAAGATTGTAATACAGTGGTGTAAGTACGAGTATCGTCTCCACAGGGACGGACAAAAGGGAATCAAGAATTAACTAAATTCAGCGATTAAAAAGAAATACAATAAAAATGAGATTTAAATCATCCAATCAAGAGATTTGATCAAAACGGTGGAAGGTCGCATTCTGAAATCGCAACAGGGATCATCTGACTTCATTGTCTATTTTCACCTTCTTCCTCTCAGATTCTCGCAAAGGTGTCTTCATATCATTTGTAGCCTTTGATGTTAGCTTTCATATGGAACTTGAATCGTGTCCATTGGTTGTTTCTACAAAGAGATATGCTTGAACGATTGAAAGAAGGTCACCCTGATCGTCGTTTTCAAGCTTCATTCATCTTCTTTTGATCCCGAATCCAATCCTAGAGCTCTTTTGTCATCAAATCTTCATCGTGAACCTCCCGGTGACCTCCAAAGATCTCAAATCACTCTCAAATGCTTTTCAAATCATCCCGATTGTTCCTCAAGTGCCGGTACCCGGGCTCAAATTCCCTGATTTTGACTACAAACAACACAAAACTCGAACCAACGGCCGGTAAACATAACTTGAGCTAAAATTGAGACTTGTAACACCTTAAAGCTAGGAAAATCATCAAAAGCCGATCTCAACATGCATCAAATACGTGTCAAAATACGGACTTATCACCTACTATCTGAATGATATGTTATCAATGTAAGCCTCTTTTATTAAAAAAAAAAAAGAATCATTGACTATCCTTTCACAAATATGTTTGAATAATGGAAATCATTGCCATTATTACTTCCACCCTTCCAAAAAATCATGTTTGACTAGGATAGGAAATAGTGAAATCAAAACTACTTAAATAACTTAACTACTCACTCTGTCCCAAAAAAGATTAGTCGAATTGACTTTTATTCATCAATGGTGATCAACTTTAATCAATGATATCTTTTAATAGAAAATTATTTAAGATAAGAAAATTATATGAGCATATTCTTTATTAAAAAATCTTTCATAAAAGTATAAAACTTATAAATTTCACACAAACTTAACATTATTGACCAAGAAAAGTCAAATTGACCAATCTTTTTGGAACATCGGTACTCCGTAATATGTTATGGATATTGACAAGGAGAGGAGAAATATTAGTAAATATAAGTTACAAATTTATTGATTAAAAAGTAACTTGAAAAAATTTGGGACATTAAAAAAAAGATGACATAATTATAAGGAAAAGAGTAGTGAACTTTTCAACTAGCCCCCACCGACCACCGTCAATTCTACCACTTCGAGTCACCGACCACTACTACAAGCTGCCAATCATTTTTCTTTTTAATCAATACAAAAAAACATTTCTGAATAAAACTCTGAGAAGAATATCAACAAAATTAAACGTTGTTATGCGACAATTTGTTATTCTGATATTTAGGACAAGAACCTATGTTTTACGAACCAAACTGTACAAGGCGGTTCAAGTCGGAACTCAATAACTCGGCTAGTTATCTAGTCCAGATGACTATCATACGAGATAAGGGTCAGTTTGGTCCTCGAAGTTGCAAAAAAGGGGTCAAATAAGTCCTTATATAGAAAATTCTGTCCGGACGTGCCATTTGAGGTGGCTCCCGGTGGAATTTTTTGATGAAATTTTTTGAGCATCTTATTCATTAAGTCTAGTTTACTCATACCAAATTTCAGATCAAAATTCAATCGGGAAGACATTCAAATGAATTCTTGAAGATAACTGTGCCGTTAAAAGCGTTGTTATCTTCAAGAATTCATTTGAATGTCCTCCCGATTGAATTTTTAGCTGAAATTTGGTACGAGTAAACTAGACTTAATAAATAAGATGCTCAAAAAAATTTATCACAAAATTCCACCAGGAGCCACCTCAAATGGCACGTCCGGACAGAATCTTCTATGTAAGGACTTATTTGACGCTTTTTTTGCAACTTCAAGTACTAAACTGACCCTTTACTCACTATCATACTGCTAATATGACTAAAACTTGAAATAACCGGTGACTTGTGTGAACCAAGAATGAACCAGACTCGGACGCTCGAATTTGAAAAAATTGGTCAACGGACTCACAGGGATTGAAACTCGCACCTATTGCTTCACACACAGACACATGACTGACCACTATACTACTTTCTTCGTCCCTTATAATGTTGTCACTTTTTTTCGGTTATCCATAAAACTTTATCACTTTCCATTATAATCAATTGATTTGTGATTTCATTTATTATTCTGTTCTGCGCAAACTTCAATCACACAGTTTCTACTTTATTATTTCACGTGTCAATCAAACTTGAAAAACCTTTAAGAAACGGAGGAATTGTACAACACAATGTTGTTACTTCAGATCACATAGGGTCATAGGGATCCTCATACCTTGTTTATCCTCTAACTTTTTTGTTAAGCATTACTAGTAATTATTTGGTGAATTAATTTGTAAAGTAATAATAATAATAATACATACATGCATTCTCATACCTTGTTTATCCTCTAACTTTTTTGTTAAGCATTACTAGTAATTATTTAGTGAATTAATTTGTAAAATAATAATAATAATAATAATAATAATAATAATAATAATAATAATAATAATAATAATAATAATAATAATAATAATAATAATAATAATAATAATAATAATAATAATAATAATAATAATAATAATAATAATAATAATAATAATAATAATAATAATAATAATAATAATAATAATAATAATAATAATAATAATACACACATGCTAATGCCATTATTATATGGAGTACGTTACATAGGAATTATTGTCCACCTAAGTCCAAATGTGTTTCAAATTTTGTTATAATAGTTTTTTTTTGAAATTTTACAATAGTTTCTTATACAATACATTAATGCAATGTTTTTTTATTACCGCAGAGGCGTTAGAGGAGGGGGGTTTGGGGGCCTGAGGTAAACTGAGATCAATCTCACTCCATAGAGAATTGAACCCGGGACCTCCCATATGGGAGAGTGAGTCGGCGACCAGCTGAGCTGGACCGCTCTGTCAATGCAATAGTTTTTTGTTTTTCTCATATTGTATTATCATTACTAAATTATGAATCTTTTTATTTATGGAATTTACTTATTTTATATAATTATACACACACACACATACAAGGAAAATTGCCCTAAATAGGAGTAAACAACATTGAAAATTCCAAAATAGGACCACTATGTTTTTCTTCTCGAAATAGGAGTCGTTACTGTCATGATTGAAAAATACCGCCATTAATTATAATAACTACTGTCATGTTGAATACATAGTACTGCAACTATTTAGCAGTCATGACTAAAAGATGACAGTAGATACTGACATCTTAGTCCTATTTCGGGAAGAAAAACATAGTAGTTCTATTTTGGAATTCCACACTTGATTTAGTCCTATTTTGGGAAATCTCCACTACACACACACACACACACACACACATATATATATATATATATTTGCGTTCATCGATTTTGCCGATCATTGACCGGGTTGACCTGTCGGGTACAAGTCGACCCTTGACCCAGTCATCTGTGTGGGCCACTTCCCGGTCTAAGTTTTACAACATAGATAAAAACTCTTGCAAGGGTAAAATGCATTAATTATATCTTAACTATTTACATTTTACATTTTAGTACTTTAACTAAATTAGCAAAGTTGGCTGCCAGCTATGCAGGCATTTTGCCAAGACATATGTCTATGGCAGCCAAATTTTAGGGCCTCCAATTAAAAAAAAATGTAGATTATGTATTTTTAATTTAGATTTGAATTCAATTCCTACATAAAATCACTTAATTGAGGGAAGGTTTTAAATAATCAAACCTTCTTGGTTTCTAAACTTTTTATCAAATGGTTGGAAACCAAAATTTCAAAACAAAAATTTCGATTCAATCTTATCAAGTGTTTAAGGGAACATCAAACCGCAAAGAAGAGATATCAAGAAGTTAAGATGATACAAAACAGAGGTTGAGAGAATGCTTTATGACAATCCGGAATTCCAATAATGCTTCGTTCATAGCCTCCTAGGGCAGCCGCCTCTAGGCTTTTTTTTCCGAATTCGATCATATTGATCGAAGTTCGGCTGTTCTTGTTCGCATATCTGGCCGCGGAGCAGTGGTCTGCTTTTGGCTAAGGTAGAGCGATCATGAGTTTTTCTCTCTAGGGCTTTGACTATGTCGGCCGCTGGAGCCTTTTTCCGATTTCGACTTTATCGAAGATCGGCTTTGTTATCCCT